GGAACTAGAACAGTCTACCCCAGCGAACGAAATAAAAGGTTCAGTTCGATATTTCAGCCACCTGAAGAAGGCCGGAGCATACAACGGCTGAAACGTTGTGATAAATATGGCAACAAAAATGAGGCCGATAGTTCGAATAATGTAAATAGTGTACATAATACCTCATCTCAGAAATATAGACTGGCCTGTATATTCTGACGGTGTAGCTATATGGGTCAAGCTGAGGTCTTGTTAAATTTGAAAAAGCGTGACCTTTCGCACAAATCGACACGGAACATTTACTTTCGATCGATGGCCATTCGTAATTGGAGACAACTTCAACGTACAAGCACAAGAGGTTTAGAATGAGAGAAAGTGACAGAAGGAAGCTTAATTATTTTTTTAGGTGGAAATGACAGGACAAAGAAAACTGTTGTCTATAAAACTGACCATCCTGCACAAAGGCAAACAGGAGGGACAAAACGGGCCTCGCAGGAGGACATAGACAACGGCGGCTGAACTGCACACCTCCTCACTTAAGCTTCAGTCCTAATTCGCTCGCTTATAGCAGTAAGTTACTATCTAAGAATAAAATTTGGTTTACTGCTAGAAATTGTTTTGTTCTTCACTCGTGGGTAACGATCTGGCTGAAAGGTAAATTTTTTGAGTGAATTCCTGAATGATAGATGATTACTCTACGTACAGGTTCCGTCTACAAACCAGTGAAGGCTTGTTTCGCACTGACGCTATATAGACATTACTAAATACAATTCATATGACTATTTTAATTTTAAATAAGATTTGAAGACTTTATTATAATAACCAAGCCTTTTCCAACGATATGCCGCATGTTTATAAAAAAAATTACTATTATAAAATAAAAGAAAAATGACTCAAAAATGCATTAGCCTATTTATTACTGTTTGCCGCGTAACCCCTAGCGACTTCAAAGGGAACCCTAAGGTTCTGAGGAACACCGGTTGAGAAAGACTGCTCTAGACCAGCGATTATCAACCGAGGTTCCCCGGAAAACTTAAAGTTCCGCAAAAGGCCCCTAAGTGTTCTGCAAGTGTTACCTGATTTACATTATGTCTTTTCAACATTGCCAGTAAAAGATAAAAAATAAAATAAAAAAAA